CGCAAACCCCTTCCCACAGGGCAAGGGCAGTGATGAAATACAGTTTCCTCAGCGCCACGTTCCTGCAGCTCAACAGTGTGAGAGAGGGGAGCCAGACTTGTGCATTTTGCCCAGTGCATGCACTTCCTTAGGATGGTGTGTCCTTTATTTGAGGTGGAGACGAGGAGTTAGGAGATAAAACAAACAAACCAAACCCCAGAGGCATTCCTGACTTTAGGAAATCAGAGCTATTTCCAGAAAACCTGCTTCTAGGCTATTATTTTCCAGGTAGTTCTTAAAGGGAAGATGAAAAACAGATAATGAAGTGGAAATATCTTCTCCATCACTCAATGCTTGATGCTGAATACCCAGAGAACTTTTCTTCCTACACTGCACGGGTGACTGATCAGTGATGCTACTGCCCAGCAGTGTCCCCCTTGTATGATGAGCAATGGCTGCAAAGTGGGCCCTTCTTTTCTGTCTTCATTGAGATCACTTGTGGTTCTTTGGCTCTGCCCCTCAGTGTCCATCCGTCAGATGGCCTCCAGGCATGCTTCTGTCCCTGGGCATGGCGGAGTTACTGATGAAGTTCAGGTGCACTTGGGTGGGGCTGCTTGAGATGATATCAAAGGTGAGCATTTCCTCAGGAAACTGGGAGAGTCAGAAATGGTATCTGTACAGACTGTGTGGAGAGGGTGCCTGTCATGAAGTGATTCCAATGTCGTCAGAATGAATGTTACTCTCTAGCATCATGGACGCACTAATCAGTGAGATGATTATCTAGATGAAACCCAGCTTTCTGATGTCTCATTACAGATGGATTAAACAGTGTAACCACAGGTAAGGGGTGGGTCATAACCACGGAGAGTGACTTAACCACCAGTGAGAAAGAGCCCCTGCTCATATTCTCCATGGGATACAGATATTTGCATTCAGAATGTTTTCTAAAGAACCATTCTGAAGACCTAGAAGTCACTTTTCTTCTGAACTGATGGCTTGTTTTTACTTCCATTGCTTTTTCTGAACCTGACTAAAGTTCTGGAAGGATACCCACCTAATGCATCCCTGGTGTATGTGCCTGTGTAACTATTTGGCAAAACTATGTCAGACCCCACTTGTCAACAAAGATCAAAATGGAGAGACACTAAGTATTATTCATGGTGACGGGACTTTTCATCGTGTGTGTTTATAGGGAAGGCTCACGGTTCTAGTGTCACCTCACAGCACTGTTTCAAGGCAAATGCCCCTGCAGAAGACAAGTTGAGGCTGATATTCTGCTCCCATGTCAGAAGTTCTCAAGTATGATCGATAGTTTATAAAATAATTTCTTGCCATGGAAATAACAACTAATTAACTTTTTTTCCAGCATGTTCTATATACTTGTGAGTTTCCTTCTTGACCTAGCAAAGAGCCTTACAATCTTCTTCCCTCCTTCCTACATGAACACTGGGTTTCAGTGATTTTGTTGGATTGTCCAAAAACTGGGTATGTGTTATTTAATATGTCAGTGTGGTGCAAAGCAACTCAGGTGGGGAGCAGAGGCCTGAAGCCAATGACTACAAGCTAAGGCCCCCTTGAACCTGCAAATGGAGGGACTTGAAGGCCCAGTTGTCCTTCCTGGGGAGCCTCCCCCTGCAAGTGTCCTGCTACTCACACCCCCATGGAAGGAGCCTTTATCCTGAGAGGAGCTGCTGAGCCCTGGAAAGCTGGGGGTGCACATGCTCATGGGGTGGGGAGTGACGCTCTTTCTGAGGTTGTAACTGTGGCTTCCTTGAGCCTATTTTTTTTTCCTTTTCTCCCCAAAGCCATGCGGTACATAGTTGTATATTCTTCTTTATGGATCCTTCTGGTTGTGGCATGTGGGACGCTGCCTCAGCATGGCTTGATGAGCAGTGCCATGTCCGCGCCCAGCATTCGAACCAAAGAAACACTGGGCACCCTGCAGCGGAGCCCGCGAACTTAACCACTCGGCCATGGGGTCAGCCCCTCCTTGGGCCTATTTTGAGATACAGGTTTCCCTTTTCTTCAGTGTAGGTGCACACGGAGCATAATTTGTTCACATTGAGAAAGTCTTTGAAAGTCAGGATTTCTGTGTCCTGGATTATGGGTTCAATAATTTGGGAGTTCATTTGGGAGTTCTTTTGGGTCACAACCTTAAACAATCCTGCTGTGTTGACAGTGACTGACTGTGGTGGTTTCTCATTGGCTGGGTTGTTGCTGAGCAAGGACAAATCCTTCCTCCTGCTGGTGAATGGGAAGGACACTTCTTCCATTTTGGGGTCTGCAAGGTATGGTGGATAGTAGTACACGAGCTTCAGGGCTTCCTGACTCCATTTTAAATGAGGTTTCCTGTATTTGTTTTCACATTTGCAACCCCAGGTGACTGTGAGGTGTGGCACTAGCAGACCCAGAGCCCATGTCATGAGGCACAGGCCCCTGGAACACAATACTCCATGCTGTCACATACACATCACCTCTGCACCAACGAGCACAGTTTCACAATAGTCTCAGTAGCACCAACAATGTCAAAGAGATGCCCCGTCTTGTCTAACCTCTGGGAGTCCCTCAGGCACCTGGCTGTACCTTCATCACTCTCCTGAGATCTCTGGAACATTCCACCCTGCCATTTCAGTGGCTCATGTGCTGACGCCAACAGCTCATCTCAGAACCCGCCTCCAGAGTGAGTTTGGAGCCCACTCAAAAGGCCAATGCTTACTTTCTCTGGATCAGGACTCACCCTGCAGAGTTCCAGCCCCAAGGCCTGTGGGAAACGGCAATCTCAGCCAGACCCTCTGCAGGCACAAGGCCTCTCGCGTCACATGACTCCCAGAATGCAATGGGGCACAGCACCAAAGGAAGTGGCAGGAAATGGCAGGGATTTCTGCTTTTCCTGAAGCGCGCAGACGCAGGTGATACCTGGTCCTTTGTTGGAGGCCACACCGTTCCTTGAAGGGGCAAACATGAGCCAAGCCATGTCCCAACGTGCTCCTGCAACATCCACTGCAGTTGTGCCCAAAAGTGGCACGCTTAACTGTTTAGATTTTAAGTATTCTATTACTTTGAGCCTCTCAGACCCAAACTAATACCTAAAATGTTTGTGCCACTCGGGTGGAGACTGTGTGATGTTTCACAGTGTATCTCGTTGCACAGAAATTTTCTTGAGGTTGGTGGGTGACCTCGTGTCAATCTAACCCAATCCTTGACCAACTTATCCTCACCTGGGAGCCTTTGATTTAGGTGGTGAGCACTCCAGCAGCCTTTAAATGTCCCACCCGTGCCTACCACTTTTGCAGCTTTTTGGTCTGTGAGATCCTCTTTAGCAATAGCCTTTATTTACATAAAACAAGAAAAACAAACATGCACCTTGACACACCAGCAGTAACCAAAAGATGTTACTGTGACTAGCCAGGAAAAGGCCCCATACACATGGTCAATTCCCAACATGGAACCTCGGAGTGGGGAATGGATTGAACTAATGGACCTCAACCAATAGGGACTGCGGACTGATGCCACACAGATGGGAAACTGCAGCTGTCACTGGCAGTTTTCAACACAGAATCTGGGGACAAATCCAAGAACTTGGTCTTCCAATCAAATGGAGAATTGTGGTCTGAACTACTAGCAGTTCTCAATGTGAACTAGTGCTTCCAGACAAACAGGGAACTGACGGGAAAGCCAGGTAGATTGAGAGGTTTCGGCAAGACAGTAGAGCTCAGAACCAAGATGGAACTTCTCCATGGCCCTCAGAAATGGTTCGAAAGACAGACAACTCAAAAAGGGTTCATCAGTACCTTGTCTGTGTTTCTCACTGTCCCCAAATACTGTCAGAAGTTTGCTTTGCATCACACTGCTGCCACCAAATCTGTGACATAACAAAAACTCAACCTAGTAAGTTGTTAGATGTAATTGGCTTTATTGAGCAATTCCTCAATTGGGCAGCATCCCATCTAGCAAGTAGAGAGGAGGTCCAAAGGGTACAGAAAAGGAAAGGTTTTAAAGGCAGAAAGAAGTCATAAACAGAAAAAAGGATTATTTTGGGCAAGGTTACCTCACTTTGGGGACAAAAAGGTCTTATTAGTCAGATAACCTCATCTTCCTTTGGGGGATAAAGAGGGCCCATGTGGCAGATTACCTCATTGATGCTGACCAGACAATCCCAGAATGACCACTTAAGATTACAGTGTATTACCATTGTATGTCAATCTGGAGAGGGTTTGCTGATATGGGCACTGTATTAAATGCACTAGGGGGTATAACAATATGAGGAGCTCCACTGACCACTCCCCAGTGAAACTGGTGGATATTATTTTAAACCAACCATTTAAAGCCTCTGGAAATTGTCCTAATGTCAAACAGCAAACGAGGAACATCTACTCAAGAAAACCAATGGAAATTCAGTGAGAAGGGGAGTGTGGGATTTGAACCATGTCTGCTCCCTCCTTGCTCTCAGCTCAGCAAGTGAGCCCTCCTCTCCGCAGTGCTGACCCCCGAACCAGAAGACAAGGTTCTCCCTCCCTAAGCTTCCAGAAGGGGGTTGTTTCACAGGAGGAGCAGGACTTCAACATTACCCATCCTGCCCTCACCTGTTGCTGAATTTCAGGCCATTGTTGGTTCACATGAAAAGTGGGGACACCCTGCTTGCACCCAGCCCCTTCTCATGGTGCAGAGGCTCTGGTGTGCTCATGGTGTGCTGAGAATTCTGGGTACTGACCACTCTTTCCCCAGCTCATGAGGTAGCTGTAACATGAGACAATCAAGAGCATTCTGGCTGCTGTCTCTCCACTGCACTGATCACTCAGCCCCTCGAATGGGACTGTCACCCAGAGAGAGGCTTTCTATTGTCCCCACCACAGCTCCAGAGTCCTGGCACAAAGATTTTACCTGAACATGGGGAAAAGCCAGCCATAAAACACAAAGCTCTTAATTCCTTCCAAAGGAATTCACTTGGCCAACAAAACATCATATAAGTTCAAGTCAGAGGACACTCTCAAGAAAGTGAAGAATAAGGTGAAGGCAATTAGTAGATTTCTGTATTTAATGAAGATACAGCTTACACCATAGGCTGAACAGTTTTCTGGAAAGAGCAAGGGAATCAGACTACTGGTAGGATACTTCCAAGGGTCAGAACAAATGTGAAACGCTGACTTCAGAAAGTATTTCTACAAAGGAGCCAGAATTTCACTGGAGAATTTGGTAGAGCATGTTATGATAACCCCCCAGGACCTTGGTGTGGTTTTCAAGTTACTCTTGACTAACGGGTAAAGAACCCAGAAAATGGGATGGAAGGTTGTGTCCTTAGTGCTCCTAAGTAGCTGTCTCTCTCCCTGTGTGGTGGCTCCAAAATCTGAGTAATCCCTTGTTTGCTTCTGCCGTCCAAATCTCATGCAAGTGAAGCTACTGGTGAATTCCAGCATGGAACCATAAAGGAATAGATTCTTAAAGATCTGGTTCTTAATATCACCCTCATCAACACAACATAATACAAGGGTGATGTGTCCAGGTCTAGATTTTGTTGCCCTCTCACAGGCCTCTACAAGATTCAAACCCTATTCACCAAATACCAGTCAGAAGGAAGGACCAAGAGAAAAGGCCCAAATACGAAAATAAGAATTCCCAGCAAACTATACTCTTTGATAAACTTGCCACACATAAAACTTTGTTCCAAATGTTTAATAGCATGGAAAATAAAAACAGGCTCCTATACTCAGCACCCCCCGAAAAGAGCTTACTCTGAGAAAAGAACAATGTACACAATGGATGAGGCGTATCCAGGAACTGCAATACATGGCCAGTAAGAAAATCCTAACAAACACAAACTGTCATTTTTCAATGGCCCCTTAACACGGAACATTTAAAACATTATAAAATAAATGAAAGAGAAAATACTATTAACAGATTTAAGGAAAAAGCACTACCTAATAATCGTATATATTATTGATGAAGGATGATTTTCAGAATTATCTCACTTCAATATTCATTTCTGAAAGTAATTAATAGAAACCCACAATCCAATGCTGCACTTTAGGAAAGAGGCTGCGTAAACACAGTATATTTCCATCAAGCTTTTTCATGACTTACATTTATATTTCTTTTTGGTGGGAGTTTCACATAGAAGGATGTAGGCCATGTGACATCTTTCCAACATTGTTTACATTCAAGAGGTTTTATCAAGTGACTCCTCGTATGCCTTCAGAAAGAACTGGGATGACAAAAGGCTTTCTTGCATTCTTTATATTTACATGTTTTTGCTCTACTGTGCCTTCTCACATATCCTCAAAAGTTTGTATGAGAAAGAAAGGCTTTTCTACTTTCCTGACATGTATAGGGTTTCTCTTCAATATGAGTTCTTTCATGTCTTCAAAGAGAACTGGGAAAAGTAAATGCTTTACTACATTTTTCACATTCATACAGTTTCTCTCTCGTATGAAGTCTTTCATGTTCTCTAAGAGAACTGGAAGAAATGAAGGCTTTACTGCATTCTTTACATTCATAGGGTTTCTCTCCTGTATGAGTTCTTTCATGTACTTGAAGAGAACTGGAACGAGTGAATGATTTACTGCATTCTTTACATTCATAGGGTTTCTCTCCAGTATGAATTCTTTCATGTTTTCGAAGAGAACTGCTACAACTGAATGCCTTACTGCATTCTTTACATTCATATGGTTTCTCTCCAGTGTGACTCCTTTTATGTACTCGAAAGGCACTGAGAGAAATAAATGCTTTCTCACATTCCTTACATTTATAAGGTCTATCTCCAGTGTGAGAGACCATGTGTGATCGAAGGCTTGAGCGAGCTATAAAGGCTTTCCCACATTCCTTACATTCAAAGGGTTTCTCTCCAGTGTGAGTTATTTCATGTACTCGAAGAGAACTGGGATAACAGAATGCCTTACTGCATTTTTGACATTCATACGGTTTCTCTCTACTGTGATTTCTTTCATGTCTTTCAAGAGAACTGAAAGAAGTAAATGCTTTATTGCATTTTTTACATTCGTAGAATTTCTCACTAGTGTGATTTCTTTCATGTATTTGGAAAAGGTGAAGAGAAATAAAAGCCTTACTACATTCTTTACATACAAAGGGTGTCCCTCCTGTGTGAGTTATTTTGTGTCTTTTTAAGTTAGCATACAAACTGAAGGCTTTCCCACATTCTTTACATTCATAGGGTTTCTCTCCAGTGTGACTCCTTTCATGTATTTGAAATGAACTGGGATGAATGAAAACTTTTCCACATTCCTTACATTTATAAGGTCCGTCTCCAGTGTGAGTGATCATGTGCACTTGAAGATTTGTGACAGCAATAAAGGCTTTCCCACATTCCTTACACTTATAGGGTCTCTTTCCAGTGTGATGTCTTTCATGCACTCGAAAAGTATTAGGATGACTGAATGCTTTACCACAATTTTTACATTCATAGGGTTTCTCCCCAGTGTGTCTCCTTTCATGTATCTGAAGAGACCTGGAATAAATGAATGCTTTACCACAATTTTTACATTCATAAGGTTTCTCCCCAGTGTGTCTCCTTTCATGTATTCGAAGAGACCTGGAAGAAATGAATGCTTTACCACAATTTTTACATTCATAGGGTTTCTCTCCAGTGTGACTCCTTTCATGTATTCGAAAAGCACTGTGAGAAACGAATACTTTCTTACATTCCTTACATTTGTACGGTCCATCTCCAGTGTGAGAGATCATGTGTGATCGAAGACTTGAGGGAGCTGAGAACGCTTTCCCACATTCCTTACAGTCATACGGTTTCTCTCCCGTATGAATTCTTTCATGTATTCGAAGAGACTTGGAAAAAGTAAATGCTTGATCACAATTTCTACATTCATAGGGTTTCTCTCCAGTATGAGTTCTTTCATGTATTTGAAGAGAACTGGGAAAAGGGAAGGCTTTCCCACATTCCTTACATTTATATGGCTTCTCTGCACATTTTTGATAGGCATATGGTTTGTGTTCGGTGTGACATCTAACGTGCCTATTAAGCGATGAATGATGCATGAAGACTTCTCCACATGCACTGCATTTATACGGTTTTGCTGTAGTTTTCTTTTTCAGTTTGAGATTGGGAAGAAGGCTGAAGTTTTCTCCACATTGACCACCCTCTTCACTTTCAAAGAGTCTCCCTACCATATGACTTCTGTAAAAAATGAGAAGCACATTATAAATGGTTTCTTGCTAACAATTTTGTATTTGTCATATTTATTGTGATTTATAGGAAAAGCTTAGGTTTTCTGCCTTGTCTGAATGCTCAGAAATTGAATAAACTGAATTCTCTGCAAGAGTACCTCACCCCTGCTATTATCCAAACAGTGATATTCACATATAGGGTTTATTAATACTGTTTCCAAGAGAGCAATTTTGCAAAAGCTGAACCTCTACATCACATTTCAGAAAGTCTATTGAGTGAAAATTTTCTAAGAATAGGTAAATTTGAAGCAACAGTTATTTGTTTTGTTTGCATCTTTTTAATATTTCATAACATACCAGGATTCTCACCTGAGACACAGCTTTCTATTGTGAATGTGACTCACCTTAGTTTTCTCTCCCAGTTTTGATACTTTTCTTCAATATCATGATCCTCCCATGTTTTCCCTGAAACGCAGACCCCGAAAGTTGATTACAAAGATTTAGAAATTATAGAAAGAATTCTAGATTCTAAGACCATGATGAGCTATGACCAGTTCTATTTTATTTACCAATATCTCACCTTTCCACAGTCTACATCTTGGAACAACACTGAGAGGCCAGAAACACTTGTTCTCTCATTGATGCAGTGAAGGAATGTCCTCATTCTTACCTACTGAGGCCAGGTTCCTGAAGGTTTCCCGCATCACATCTCTGTAGAGTTTCTTCTGTGAAGGATCCAGTAAAGCCCACTCCTCTGGGGTGAAGTTCACAGCCACATCCTCAATGGCCACTGAGTCCTAAAACATTACAAATATTTGTAGAGGAGGATGCATGAGATTAACAGCACTTTGTCATTAGTACACCTACTTTGAAACGATCAAAAATTTATTGGAAAGAACGTAAATGATAAAGATAGAAGACTAGAAAAGGAAGAAATGAAGGTAAAATATCTTTTATATGTTTGTAATTAATATAACAAATGACACTTTCACATAATATTAGCAACAATGTATTTAGTAATGAGAAGCTTATGGACAACTGAAATAAATGACAGGAACGTGACAAGGCATAGGAAGGGGAAATAGGGAATACTCTGTTATGAAGTACTTGCACACGGTGAAGAGGTATAGTATTATTTGGCAGAAAAGGTGGGTTAGTTATAAATGTGTATTGAAAACTCAAGGGCAAGTTTTTAAAAAAATGTGTAAAAGATATACTAAGAGAGGAGAAAAAAAAGAATCACATAAAATGCTGAATTTCAGCCAGAGAAGGTGGAAGACAAAAAGAAACAAATGACAAGAGCAAGATATAAGAATATTAGTATCAATCCAGTGTATTAATAACCACCTTAATCATCAATGGTCTCAATATAATTGAGAGATACAGTAATATCAGATTTACAAAAAACAAACTGAGTTACATACTGTCTACAAGAAATCCACTTTCAATATAAAGACACAAATACATGAGGGGTAAAAGGATGGAGAAAAATATCCCATGCCAACACAGGTGAAAAGAAAGTTGGCATACAAATATGAAATACAGATAATGCGGATTTCAAACCAAGGAAAATTCAGAGATAAAGAGGGACATTACATAATGATAAAGGAGTCTTCTCCAAGAATGCACAGCCATCCTTTATGTGTATGAGCATAACAACAGAGGGACAAAATACATAAGACAAAGAGCTGATAGAATGCAAGTAAAATAGAGGAATTGAGTTTAATAGTTGGAGAATTCAACACCCTCTTATTATGAATTATAAATTCCAGTAGGCAGAAATGGTGAAAGGACAGAGGTGAATGGAACAGCACTGTGAAACAAGTGGATTTCATTGTAATCTATGGAATACGTCATGCAACAATAGCAAAATACACATTCTTCTCAAGGTCACGTGGAACATTCACTAAGACAAACCACATTCTGGGACATAAAGCACACCTTGGCACATCTGAAAGAACAGAAATCACATAAAATATGCTCTCAGACCACACAGGCATTCATCTAGAGGTCAATAACAAGAAGATAGTTGGAAAATTCCCAAATAAGTGGAGATTCAACAATACATTTCTAAATAATACATAGGATCGAACAAAAAGTCTCAAGAAAGTGAAAAATTATTTTGAAGTAAATGAAATGAAAACAGAAGATACCAAGGGTTCTTGGATGCAGCAACAGCAGTGCCTAGAGGGAAATTTATGCCATTGAACAATTACACTGGGAAAACCAAAGATACATAATCAAAAATGTAAGCATCTACCTTAGGAAACAATAAAGGGAAGAGCAAATAAAACCCAAAGTAAGCACAATAAAAAAAATAAATAAAAATTAGAAAAGAAAGCAATGTCATTGTGGGAAATCAGGAGAGAAATAAAACAGAAAAAGCTGGCTCTTAGACAAGACTAACAAAATTGTTAAACATCTAGTCAAGATAAAGAAAAGAAGGAAGACATATTACTAATACAAAAAAAGGAAAGCAGGGGGAAACGAAAATAAAAAAGGATTTGATAAAATCCAATATCCATTTATGATAAACTAGTAATAGAGGGGAACTTTCACTACTTGAGAAGGAACACCTTTTTGAATTTTGCAGCTAAACTCATAACGTTTTTTCCATATGGCATGACTGTGTCCGTGAAACCTGAGAAAGGATTCACAACAGAAATAACTCCTGGAATTCATAAGGGAGTACAGCAAGGTTGAAAGGTACATGAGTCAACGGCTTTCCTTACAGACCCACACAAATATAGTCAACTGATCTTTGACAAAGAAGGAAAGGCAATTCACATGAAAAAGCAAGTTTTTTAAACAAACAGTGGTGGAAATAATGGATACCCACATGCAAACACACATACATAAAATGAATGTAGGCACGGGTCTTACACCTTTCACAAAAATTAAGTGAAAACACATCACAGATCTAAATGTAAAATTCCAAAGGAATAAACTCCTAGCATATAACATAGGAGAAAATCTAGCTGACTTTGGGTTTGGAGATGAATTTTTAGATACAAACCAAAAAGCAAGGTCCAGAAAAGAAAAAAACCAAAATTGTACTTCCTTAAAATGAAAATCTCCTGCTCTGAGAAAGAGTGTTAAGAGAATAAAAACACAATTTACAGAGTAAGAGAAAATCTTTGTAAAACACTTATCTGATAAATAATTGCTATCAGAAATATCCAAAGAACTCTTAAAACTCAACAGTCAGAAGACAAACAACCCAATAAAAAAATGGGCAAAAGATGTGAAAAGACAGCTCACTGAATAAGATATACAGATAGGAAATAAGCAATATAAAAACATGCTTCGCATCAAATGTCATTAGGAAATTGCAAATAAAACAATGAGGGAACATTAAACACTTACTAAATGGGGAAAACTCAAAACAGTCAGAACGCTAAATACTGTTGAAGATGCAAAGCTACAGGTAATCCTCATTCAGTTGGCGGGAATGGAATTTGGTGTGCCTGCAATGGAAGACAGGAACTTTCTTTGAAAACGAACTACACTGTTGCTACATAGAGGAAGATCCACCAATAAGGCACCTTGGTATTTTTCTAAATGAGTTGAAACCTTATGTTCACACAAAAGCTACACTTGAATGTTCATAGACGCTTTGTGCATAATTGGCAAGAGTTAGAGTTTTAAGCAAGACGTCCTTCAAGTGTTGAATAGACAATCAGTGGTGTATCCGTACCGTGAAATACTGTTCAGCAATGAAAGAAATGAGGTATCAAGCCATGAAAACACAGGGAGGAAACTTAGAAGTATACTGCTAAGGGAAAGAAGCCAATGTGACAAGGGTACGTAGAGTATGATTCCAAGTACATGACATTCTGGAAAAGACAAAAGCATGAACCTGTAGAAAGACCTTTCGATGTGAAGAACTTGGACGCTGGAGGGAGAGATGAGTCGATAGGTGGAGCACAGAGGAGTTTCAGGGAAGAGAAACTACACTCCATGACACAGAAATGGATGGGTCCATGTATTTATACATTTGCCAAAACCCACACAGTGTATAACACGCAGAGTGAATGCTAATGTGCACTGTAATGCATCAACATGGGCCAGAAACCTACCAGAGTAATACAAAATGAGACAAGTCGTGCAAACTGTGTGGATGCAGAGAGGAGGGTTCTGTGGAAAATATCTAAATTCTGATCAATTTTTCTGTAAACCTGAAACTGTTCTAAGAAACACTTAAGTCTTTCAAAAAAAATGAAGACAGACTCATTACAGTTCACCCCTGATGACTGAAAGAGGACATCTCTTATTCAACTGATTTCAACTGATCTCAGTAAGCCAGTACAGCGCTCTATGAGCCTGAGACCCATACGGGAGGGGAAACTTCCATCGAGTGCCTTGTTGGGGAGCACAGCACTGTATCCTCTGAGAAGCGCCATGGTCACTATCAGTAGTGTCAGAACCCCAAGGTGGATGACGAGTGTCCTGGGTGAGTCCTTGTATTGTACACCCAGCAATGTACTTGATTTCTACTTTGAGGATCTCCAAGTCAAGAGATTCCCAGAGTTCTTTGCCACAAAGTGGCATCTCATAGACAATCATCCAAGAGTTTGTGAACATGTGCAGATTAGGCCAACTTTGGGCCTGTACTAAGATTACTGCCTGCTGCTTGGTTAGCTCTAACGATCCTTCGGTTTGGTTCTTCATCACGGATGTCCCAATTAAGGGATGAAGAGCATCAGTGCCACACTGAGCTCCATCATGTACAAATGTGTATTGTCATCAAACTCTATGCACTCCCCAGTGCTGTGCATTCAGTTAATCCCGAGGAACTACCCAGGGAACCATGGGGTCTGGGAGAGGGGTGGCCTCCTCCATCACCACAGCATCTTTCAATAACCTGAAGAAGGGCCATGACCCTGCTGCACGTGGCATACACTGCAGGGCCAAGGTAAGGCTACATTATATGACAAGTAGGTGTCAGTAGCCGAGCTGAGCTGGCAGGATGCTGTTTCCAAGGCCAAAGGCATAACACGTGCGCTGGTAGAGGGTCTCATGCTCATTACTTACGAGAGCCTCCATTTTCAAGAGATCTCAGTATGAGATGAAAAAGCAGCTCTAGTGGCATATAGTGCGGGACGTGGGGCAGTTTCCTGCATCAGAAGCCTTCAGACAACTTAAGGCCCTCCTCCAGAGAGCCTCACATCACTGCCGCCATCAGGGTCAGACACCTCCTCCATGACAACTGGTTGGTTTACAGAGTTTAAGGAGCCCAGGATGAAGATGGGTTCAAACTAGTCCCTTTGCTGTGACAGATGCAGACTGTGGGTGTTATCCACCATAACCCGGAGGGTCAGGACCTATGTTGCAAAAGACACTCGGGCAGCAGCAGAGTTCCCTAGGGGTCCTGCTGAGCCCTCTCTGATCTCACCACCTACTGGCTGCATTTTCCTCTCTTCTCTTTCTCTGTGAAATAATTGCTCTGTAAGGAGTGACCCTTGAAGGGCTCAGCTCACTGACAGGGTATAATCGTCCCCTCACAATCCCAGTATCAAGGCAAGCCCAACCTCAGTGTCACACTCACTCTAGACACACAGATAGATCCCACCAAATCACTGACTGAGGCCACATAAGGAGGGCCTCATTCCCAGACTCCTGCTCCTGAAGGACGAGGAATTACCCAAACTGCCACCTGGGAGTTCTCCGCACCTAGAACCCAGGCTGGGTGGGGTCAACAGTGCAGCATAGGGCAGCACAGCGCCCAGGAGGAGCTGCCCCGCAAGCAGCAGCCCACAGTGCAGGAGCCTCCAGGCTTTCTCATCAGCCTGTCCAGAGAAGAAGTTCCCAGGGGAAAAGGAAGGGTGAGGCTTAAGTTGTCAGCAGTCAAACAGCAAATATGTGGATCCAGGTCACTCATTACAAGAACAAACACGGGTGAGAAAACTAGGCATTCGCACTGGCTTGTTTTCACATAAAGATGTACTAACAGACTGATGAAGCAGTGAGCAACATTGGTCATGGGAGGGAGGCTGGAGTCAGGTAGAGGAGCGGGGCAGGATGTGCAGGCGGGGAGTCTCCTTAAGGGAGTCCTCTCTTAGGAATATTTTAACCTTCCCACTCATGATTTATTTGAGATGAGAGAACTTTACACACACCATATTTTCCTATGCTTGATGATTATTTTTAATTAACTTTTGCATTTTAAAATTAATTAAATTTTAACATTTCTACATAGAAAAACACACCAAGATTTAATCCTTTAAACCATAATAAACATAGAACAGTAAAAAACAACTTACAAATTCATTTCCAAAAGGACAAGGGGCATTATAGTTTGTCCCTGCACTATGTTTCACAGTGCTGATATTTTCAGGAAGGAGTACGCTAGGGGTTTGCGATTAAGCCCTGCAATAAAGTCGGAATTCCAAAGATATATGTAAGCTTTACATGACTCCTTATATCAACGAAAATAGAAATTCAGGGGTTTTTTCCTCACATCCATTAAAACAGAGCACCGTACTGGCTTACTGAGATCAGTTGAAATCAGTTGAATAAGAGATGTCCTCTTTCAGTCATCAGGGGTGAATTGTAATGAGTCGGTCTTCATGTTTTTTTCACAGACTTTCTCACTGTGCACAGATTACACTCTCAGTGCACCTACAGTGTGGGTGCAAAACTCAAACATAACATTAAAATCTACAGGCCTAAGGAACCAGAACCAGAGCCTCAGAAAGGGCGTCACTCCCCACCCCATGAGCACGGGCACCCCCAGCTTTCCAGGGCTCTGCAGCTCTTCTCAGGATAAAGGCTCCTTCCATGGGGGTGTGAGCAGCAGGACACCTGCAGGGGAGGCTCGCCAGGAAGGACAACTGGGCCTTCAAGGCCCTCCCTCTGCAGGCCCAAGGGGGCCTTAGCTTAGACTCACTGCCCTCAGGCCTCTGCCCCCACTGGAGATGCTTTGGAACATCACTGTCATTTCAAATGACACAAACCCAGTTTTTGAATAATTCAGCAAAATCACTTAAACTCAGTCGTTATGTGGAAAATAGGGCAGAGTGTTATAAGGCAGTTCTACTAGTTCAGCTAGAAAACTCTAAAGATCTATCACTTTCAGGAAAAAAAGTCAGTCATTATTTCCATGGCAAGAAGTCACACTTGAACGCTTGTGGTCTGCATGTCTAAGGCCTGGAACTTCATTTAATAACATCCAAAAGCAAAGAACAGGCCTCAGAAACTGACTACACACGTTCAAGGGAAGAAAGAGTGAAATGAGAATTCTTAACAAATGGAATGTAATATTTCTTTTTCTGAAATTCAGCTTTGTTGTTTGTTTTTAACTATTTTATATTGTCTTCCAAGGATTATTGATTAAATATATCTACGGTTATTGAAAAATGGAGACACATGAGTTAGTGAATCTTTTCTAGGTCACAAACCTAAGGAGGGGCAGTGCTGACAGGACAGCTCACCCAGGAAAGTTTCTCAAGAGGAGCCTCCACCCTCCAAAGGAGTGACAACTGCATGTCTGTCTCCAGAAAGACCCTGGAGGGGAGACAAGGATTTCATGCTTTGTAGTTGCAGGTGGTTATTCTCTGCTTTCCTCTCATGTAAAATATCCACAGACAAATTTCATCTTTAAAGAAGAGCCATCCATGGCTCTGGGGAATAACGATAAACAGCTAAAAACGGGTCTCTTTGATGCACCGCGGAGGGCGAATAGTTGATAAGGATGCTGTGAATCCGAGAGGGGCAGGTGACTTTGGGAACACAAGGAGCGATCTGAAAATTGAGACTTATTGGCAGCCCAGGAAAAGCTAGTCTGGGGACACAGGGTTGTGGATTTGAGACCCTGCTCCCCAAATATTTGGAAAACTCAGGAAAAACTGGGCGCCTCATGGGGAAAAAAGAAGCACTAGGGACCCACAGACCGCAGCCCCTCCGCGCACGGACCCCGGAGACCGAGGCCCGACTGTCCTGCGGGCCCTCCCGCGGGCCCCGCACCGTCTGGGACACGCTGGGCTGCGGGGGCACCGCGGCCCAGAGATGCTCCGGCCCAAGTCGCCGCGCCCAGGGACCACAGGACGCCCGGGGACCGGCTGACGGCCCCGCCCCCACGCTGCGGCCGGAGGGGCCTGAGGGCCGAGCGGCGCCTCCGCGGACTCGGGGCCGCAGAGCCCGGAGGGGACGGGGGAGGCCGGGCCCGCCCCGCCGCTTCCCACCAGCCCCTCCTCCTCCGGGGCTGAACTCTCACCATTGCTGAGGCTCGTGGGGCCCCCGGCGTCCTCCCTACGACTCGGTACAGGTCACGGCGCCACGGAGTCCGCGGCAGAGCACCGTGGACACTTTCAGGGCAGGCGGCCAGCCATCGGAAGGATTGTGGAGCGAGAGGAAGCGGGAGGTGGCTGCTGAGCGTCGCCCCGCCCACCTGCCCCAGAGCCGACTCTGATTGGACAGGTCATAAGGCCCCTCCCTCTCGCTCCTGAGTGATAGCCGGTCGGAGGTCAGGCGTCTGAGCTGACCCGGAGCTGAACCTTGTCCTCTCGGGGACTTCTGCATTGAAATGGCGATGCCACGAGGCCACTCGAGGAACTGTGACTCTTTGCAAACACAGACACTTCATAGTCAACTCACGGTGCGTAATGATTACTCTGGCTCCACTTTGATCTCTGACTGTTGACAGCCTTGAGTCTTCCACCCTGCGCTTCCCCAACCCCACTCCTGTCAGACTTTAAGGAATCCTCTGGCCTCCCAACCCCTTAGCTCTGATGGGAAGTTGGAACCTCAGCCCCAGCTGGGCGCAAGGTCTCTTCTCAGTCTAACCACACGGTGGGAGGTGTGTTCATTCAATTCTCAGGTGTACCTTTTACCCTGGAGGGAAATTTACTTTAGGTCATTGTTTGAATGTATCCTGAGAGAACTCTGAAGTGTGAAGGCTATAGTATCCCTAAGGTAATTCAATTCCTGTTTGGACTGATACAACAAAAAACCAGAAAAGGTTATGTAAATGTGGGATGTACCTGAAAAGTATTCATGTGCTTAATTAAGAGATTGGATTGCAAAACTCATTTGCGTTTCAAAACTCTTAATGCATTTATTCACTTATTTGAATTTTTTTTTGAAAAACAATACACATCCGATACAATGGGCCCCTTTAATGTCTACAACTCATGGTCTTCAGTGCAATCATCACCACAGTCAATTTCACAACATTTCCATCACCTAAAAAGAAACCCCTATGCCCTTAACCCACCACTGCCCTATCTTCCTGCTTAGCTCCTCCAAGTGTCAGCCCCAGGGAACCACTAATCTATTTTCTGTCTTTATAAATTTCTGTATTTGTTGACTTTCAGGTGAATGGAAATATATAGTATGTGGTCTTTGTGTTTGATTTCATTCACTTGGCATAATTTTTTCAGGGAATTCCATGTTGTAGCATGTATCAATACTTCATTCTTTTTTTAACTTGAGATATTGTAACCGAAAGTTTGGTCCCTGAACCCGATGCCAATCCAAATAACGAGAACAGAGTCTTGAGTGGAAGAGGAAAGGTTTTTACTATGCCAGGCACAGGGAGCAAAGCAAGGGCTCATGCCTCAAAAATTGCTAGCTCCCCGATGAGGAACGGGTAGGGATTTTTATTTGGGGTTTTGGGTAGGGGAGGGGGGAACATGTAGCTTGTGCAGCTCGGCGCCTTCCCACCAGCCTGCGTTTGGCCTTGAGAGGCTGCTTGCCGCGAGGCGGGGGCGGGGACTAGTGAGAGAGGAGATGGCAGGTGCGCGTCCTTCGCTGGTGTCTCGTCTTCCTGTTTGAGGCGGGTTCCAGCGCCAGAAGTTGAGGAGTTGAGGTCTGGGAAGCCTCCGCTCCTTGATACTCTTGAGACAGCGGCTTTTCTGGCAAACTTGCAGGACACATGATTAGCTAAACTTTAGTGTGCCTCCAACTCCAGGCCACCTGGGCTTTTAACGATTTGTAACTCCCACTTAGTTGTAAAGCTCAAGGAATCCAAGTTTAAAGAAACAGGTATTTACATATGAGTGGAGCTAGAGAAGCAGGAAAGGGGGTGGTGGGTTTTAGTTTTAACCCCATATACGCTGGGTTCAATGTGGGGAACTGATATCAGGGCTGATGTTAAGAGCCTGTAACACATTCATTTGAGAGCCCAAATAGGGAAAGCTACAGAGTCAGAAGTAGATTAACGGATCCTACATCTTGGGGGATTGGAGGAGGAAGATGGGAATATTGGGAGTGATAGATAAAGTGTAGGTGAGTTTCTTTTTGAGGTGATGAAAATGTGCAGAAGTTGCCTGGGGGGATGATTGCACGTATTTGTGAGTATACTGAACTGCTAAATTGTACACTTTAAGGGAGTGCACTGTATAATAGTTGTGTTGAGAAGCTGGAGCTGGTGCATTAAATTCAGTGTGGGCAGATTATGACCTGCTGAATGGCGAGGTACAAGCCACCCACATGGGGTCAGCAGGGAGCTCCCTCAGCACCTGAGCTCCCACTTTGGGGAAATCAAATCCCTGGGGTCATTTTGATTGAAGCGGCAGTTTCAATACATCCACACAGAGAAAGTACAGTCACAAGATTTGTTACTTATAGATCCCAGAAATAGGCAGAGGTGCAATAAACCGAGGGAAGGGAAGTCCTCTGTGCCAGGTCATGAGTGAGCGGGAGACAGACAGCAGGGTAGCAAGCACCTGTTACTTATAAGGCGGTTGGGGCGGAGGTCACTAACTTTTTGCAGACTCACCTCTAAGTGGTTATTTTAAAAAGTCTCCCAGGAAAAGCAAAGTGGGGACTGATGGCGGAAATCCTAAGCCCAGGTCCTTATCTAAATGTCCAGACTCTGGGTGTGAACAGGGTCGTCATACTGTAACATACCTAGGTAGCAAACCAACATAGCTACTTTTCTCATCAACATTGACCCCATGATGCCTAGGCATTAGCCTTTAGGGAAAATTGTGGGCACTGTCTGGATGGTGGAGATATTAAAAGCCATTGGCAGGGTCTTGGTCACCCAGCGGATGAAACATTTGAACAAAGCAAAATGTCAATCAACAATTTTAACAGATGAATGATAGTTTCAAATCCTGTCCATAACCCTCTGGCCCTTTTTCGGGGTCCAGCCAAGAAAATAAATCAAAGCCCTTGGATGAGGTTAAGGTAAGTATTTGATTAAACGCTACAGTGAGATTATGGAATCCTTGCACCTGTTGGGCCATCCTTTGTAAATTTGTCCAGAATTATTAACATACATGCAGCAGGTGGTGCCCTTTACAGCACATCCCCTCCTTTCTTGGCCAATAAGTAATCTAGAGCTAAACGGTTATGGAAACCATCTGTGCTAAAGAATCCTGTTGTTGTAGTAAGGCCTGGCTTTGGTGTAATATCCCTGTGCATCAAGCCAGGTGGCTGACAGGTTGGTGTTTGCCTTAATATTGTGTTGTTGTGAGCCCAGTGTGGCTGCATCTAGTCCAGTCTGGGTGAGGGATGGTAGCAGACCTACTCCCAATGTAATGGGGATTAAAGATTAATGCTTTTGATGTGAGGGGGCAGAAAGAGAAATGGATTGAAGTTCCTGTCCAGTAGGAACAGACAGGACTCCGGAGGCCATCAAGGAGAAAAGTGCATTGGAGGTGGAGGGAAGGAGAAGTGCACATATGGAGAACCACATATGTGTGACGGCCACAGGGCATTGGACCCACAGTGGACACCAACTGCTTGATCGGGAAAGAGGAAGTAAATACTTGTTCCCCCCATATGGCTGGGCCTCAAGGCCCAAGACCATAGGGATTGTGCTCCTTGGGAGGGGGTGTAGGTCATATTCATCCAAATGGTGTTGGTCCTGGGCAGATGTAGGGGGTTATAAAAGGCATGTTGGGGGTCCTGCCAGGTGCTGCATAGTCAATTGCAAAGTGACCTGCCTGGCTGCAGTTGAGAACCATAGAGAGCAGCTGGGCAAGCCACAGGGACGCATGGGGTGCCTTCTGTTGTGCAAATTGGGCAGGGTCAATAAGTCAGTCCTGTGGGCCATTACTCAGGATAAAGCTGTTGTTGAGCCTGGTAACATGCCTAGCAATTCCAGTGCTCCTTCCCAGATGAGCTCCAGTTTCTGCTCATCGTATAAAAATATTAAGACTATTGGAAGTTTTGACCAAGAGGACTGTGGAGTCCTGAGTGGTAACCATTGGAAAGGGTCCCCTCAGGGTGGTGTAGGGAGGTGACCATGCAGCTGTGGTCCTGGAGGGTGTAGGGGGATGCTGTGGTGGTGGTAGCATCTGAATTCAGGGAAATATTCTCCCGACAGAAATTAAGTTCACTACCTCCCAGTAGGACTCATAATGTGGACTAATGTAAAGTGTGTGGTGAAGGCAAGGAATTGAGTGAAGTGTTTAAAGGAGCCCCTGTAAGGTTGTGAGATTCGACACATACCCTGGCCTCTCAAAGCTCAAAGGTGGACCTGGCAGGCAGAGTATCGCCTCACCCTTGAGCAGCAAGCATTGTAGTGAGCAGGAGGGCCTTGGGTAAACATGTAATTTTGCAAAATGCAACCTATGGGGGCCATCAGCAGGGAATTTAGATAAACAAGCATTCAGTTCAGCAACCAAGTCCCAGGGAGTGCTCACCATGATCAGCTGCCAAGTCTTCCTTGGTGTCATCTCTGCTACAGAGGAAGGTTACAAAAAATTTTAGTTATATGCTCCTGACAATGTAATGCTTCACCTTGTATTACCAGAGATGGTATATACTGGTTGAACTGCATAAGCCTGTCAGCCAATTAGGATTGAAATTAGGGCAGTGCAAGGGCCAGTGTCTGAAGGTCAGGACGTCAGTGACTGTTTTGGCGGGGTTGGTGGCCTTTAAGCATTTGTGCCATTGATCCCATTTAAGATAGAGGGCTTGAATCACCCAGCCAGCATCCACACCTGGTAGCCTTTGGGGCACAGCCCCTCTAGGCCTGACTTCTATCACACACCACCCTGCATCCTGGGTTGCAATTATGGGAGAGTGCTGTGCAGTTCCAGCAACTTTCCAGTGTTGCCTCTCTGGGGTTGAGGAGAAGCCCCATGGCCCAGATGGCACAAAGGCACAGAGTAAGGCCAGCAGCAGTGAGCATCCACATTTTATAGTTTTGCTTCTGCCCACTGACTACCCCACGAGAAGATTTATTATGGGGCCACTGTGGGTCAGCAGCTCATTGGTGGCCTCCTCCAAAGTGGGAT